GACGAGGCACACCCACTCTCCTTTGGAGGGATTACGGGCACTCTCCGCTTGCTCTCCGCCATTATAGACGGCAAGGCCGGCTCGAACCGGGACCATATAGGCCGGGGGGAGAAATCCCTTGGTCTGGAGCGTCACTAGCTCGCTATGCGGGATGGAGCATCTCTCCCAATATCCAGGCTGAGGGCTGGAAGGGCGAGAGGAGGAGTCGCGACGGCTGGCCATGGTGGAATGGACCTTTGTCGGATGCGCTCTGATGAACACTCGCGAAGGGGGGGAGATGTGGTTTGGATCTAAATCCTCGTCCCCTTAAATAGGTCAGCTCATTTACGCGGCTAGGGGTGTGAATGTAAAAAACACTCAGACTCTTCATATTCGTTTGACACGTGGGAAGCGGCCATTATTGGGCGTAGAAACCAAGGAGCGCAACATCTGCAAGAAACCGGACTTTATTCAACAGGTACACGGAATTTAAAGGAGAACCCGCCTTGCAATGCCGAAGAGAATCTGCGCGCCGGACTCATCGTCATTGAAGCCTGGTTCGGGGGCTATTGAGGGAGTCCTGGATTAGGGGGTGTCCGGATGACCGTACTATACCTTCAGCCGGATTCCTGGACTATGAAGATATAAGATTGAAGACTTCGTCCCGTGTCCGGAAAGGACTTTCCTTGGCGTGGAAGGCAAGCTTGGCGATACGGATATGCAGATCTCCTACCATTGTAACCGACTTTGTGTAACCCTAACCCTCTCCGGTGTCTATATAAACCGGAGGGTTTTAGTCCATAGGACAACATACACAACAACAATTATACCATAGGCTAGCTTCTAGGGTTTAGCCTCTCCGATCTCGTGGTAGATCTACTCTTGTACTACCCATATCATCAATATTAATTAAGCAGGACGTAGGGTTTTACCTCCATCGAGAGGGCCCGAACCTGGGTAAAACTTCGTGTCCCTTGCCTCCTATTACCATCCGGTCTAGACGCACAGTTCGGGGCCCCCTACCCGAGATCCGCCGATTTTGACACCGACATCTACCATGAGTAGTAGGCATGCAACTTGCAAAAAAAGAGTAGTACGCGTGTAGGCGGTCGGCATCCACGTCGGTCCACAACACCCTAATCGAACGTGCATGAATGTTACAGTAGTGAGGATTAGTGCGCTTTTCGGCCATGCAGACACAAGCTAACTTGCGGACGCTGGCCGCCTACATCCCTAGTAGCATTTTGGAAGCATCATGAAATTGTACAAAATACTAGACCCAATGATTATTTAAAAGAAATGGTTTCTATGGTCAAGCTATTTGAGAAGGGATATAAGTTGGAAATCATGTTCACCTGCATTGAGACATTCATTCTACAAGTAGGATTTGTTCTGTCTGGTTTCCTTTTGATCGATATAAGGGAGTCGAAAATCCTTATTTGGTAAGCGCTACATGCCATACAGTTTCTCTTATGCTTATTTATGCTAGACGTAAGGTTACACTGCTGGTATGGTTCAAATTAAATCATGAGCCATCATTACAACCGATGCATCTCCTTTATATGATATGAGGTAAACTAGGTGATCTTGATCAAGTTTTCTCAAGGGACTTAACTCCCCTACAGAAGTGCTCAGTGGAGTTATCATTGAAATAGCGAGAATAGCTTGTGCTATTTAACTTTTTGAATTGAGACAATCTTCTGAAGATTAATTAGAGGCAGGGCAACCATGCGTTTTAGACTGTTTAATCTTCTCACCCGCCTCTACCTCACTCCTCCAGGGCACAAACCAAATGTACGTAGATGATTAGTTTTGTGTAGGATGGCAGAAGACACACATCTTTTGCAGTAGAACCCTTAGTTTTCCAAGTTAGAAATTCTGTATTCTAGTTGGCAATTTTCTGAAGTCCTGCTACATGAAGGTACCATATATTTCATGACTGTTAAGTTCTTTGAGGATCCATCTCCTTATGTGTACAATGATAAACACTAAAAGTATGTATTTGCTGGTACATATCAATTTTTTTGTCAAGGTCGATAACATACCAATGTGACTCAGTAGTCAGTACATAGTGTTTTGAACATTGGTTTTTCATGTATTGCCTTTTCTAATTCCTATTATCTCAAATTTCATATACTCCCTCCATTCCTAAATATAAGTCTTTTAGAGATTCCAATAAAGAACTACATATGAATCAAAATGAGTGAATCTACACTCTAAAATATGTTTATATACATCCGTATGTTGTTTGTATTGAAATCTATAAGATGACTTATCTATACCAATATAAAAAGACCTAAAGGGGCAGATCCAATTAATCTCGGCCATCAAATCATGTCAACGACCTAGACTGCTTCAATGTCGAGCGCTCAACACGTTTAGCGTGCAGTTAATTTCATGCCAAATATGGTGCTAATCACATAATAACACGTAAATAATATCCTACTTAATATCCGCATGCACTTAATATACTTCTAAATTAACGTGCATTGCACATACACATTGACTAGTATTTAGAAATGGAGGGAGTATATATTAGCTATTCTGCTTCTTCTAGTGCTTTTCTACCTAGCAATTTACCAAGCGTTTCTCTTTGAACACAAACTACTGAATGTTTAATAATTTCAATATATTGGGCAGTTACTTATGAAGGTGCTGGGAAAGAGAGGTTGCAAGGAACGGTCTGCACGCCTCGACATCTGCCCCCCTGCAGTACTTCTTGTACGTCAGAGGATCTCGTTCCGGAACAAGGTGTGAAGGTGCTACGAGCTGAAGAGCCCGTAGATGCCGTTGCTGCAGGTTAGGCGGGTATGTTGAAGATAGGAGATAGCAGTAACTGAGGTTATGCTGAGAACTTGAGACTCCATAGTTGGCCACAGGTTGGTCAGTAATAGGGCTTTTGGCTCTGATGGTCCGTTATATGGTCATCTAAAATTAACCTGTGTTTAATCTCGTATGCTTTTTATATGACCATGATCATGCGTCTGTCAGTCATATAAGGTGGCGAGAGCATTAACCACGGTTTAGTTTATGCACAATCAGTAGGTTAATTAAGATAATGTAGAAAGGAAAAATGATTGTGATCTCGCTATCTGCACATTGCTCTAGGTGCTGTTGCTAGAAGCATCTAGAACAAAACTAGTGCAGTACCATTTGGAGATCAAGAAGAAGTGCCAAGGAACTAGTTGTCACACGTGGTGAACCGAATGGACGTTGTGTGAGGCAAAACTAGGCACGTCACCTCGAATGGTAGTATGTTTGCTCGTCCGCTGGATGAAGGAGCTCTCGGTGGTGAGGGCATGGACAGATGGTCGTTCTCCAACGGCATGAACTGATCGCCGAATGCTCGTGGGCGGAACACGGAGCCGTCGTACCTGAGAGATGTTCCCAAAAAACCCGTTACCTGACAGTTAGACCTTGTGCATACTGTGCTGAGCATCCCTCTCCTGTTCTGCTCCTGCACTTGCAGCTATACCAGTCTGTGCACATGGTTTTGTGAGCTGCATGCACCCTGTAAATTGCTTTCTTTCTCGATCCGTATATATCAATTGAAATGGCACACAAGCTTTCATATTCACAAAAAAAGGATCTCACCGATGCCATGGCCATCATGCCTTCTGTATAGGGCATACGGTTATACCTTTGGGCTATATGTGAGATATAATTCTGCAATCTATTTGGCGTCGGCGCAGCGTGGGTTCGTGGAAAAACGGAAGAGGATGGTGAGGAGAAGAGAACGATCGTAGGAGCGGTAGAGAATGCATCTAGTCGTGAGGGGGTAGAGATGGTGCCTCTACAATTGTTTTTACCTGACTATAGATCTGTACTTCTAGGACTCTAATCACGTTCGTTTACATGATCTGAACAGTATATTTAAGATTTAGAGTTTTAATTTACTTGTTTTCTATGAATTATCTTGATCTGGAATACGCCATATATTAAAGTAGAAGAATGGGTATAGAACCCAACACAATGTACATGTATTTAGAATTTAAATTTACTTGTTTTCTATGAATTATCTTTATCTGGAATACGCCATGTATTAAAGTAGAAGAATGGGTATAGAACCCACCACAACGTACACGATGTTACATGAGAGTGATATCACTCTCCATCCACTACCACACTCCTCTCAACTAGACAAACTACTGATATCCCTGCCAACCGTAGCTAGATCAGCAAAGAAAGCGCCCAAATCTTCCTTGAGCAAGCCTGCCGATCTCCACGCTCTTCCTTCTTGTTCGATCATACGAAGTACCTGAGATGTTGAAGGTGATGCACCATCAAATACAATTGTGTTTTGGTGTTTCCATTATTCCCCTTGTGTTAGTGTTACGAGGGTCCTCAAGGCTTTCTGTGTGCATCTGTTCGATCTCCTCGTGCTGCACCAATCTACAAGGTCATCGTCTATAGTGGGAGTCTGCCCATGATCCCCCAAAGCGCTTTGAATCGAGAACTGGACTGTGCACGCAAAGACACATGTTAGCATGATGTGGTTAATCGTCTCGTCATGCCAATCGCATAGAGGGAATGAATCCTGGTGTGGTAAACCTCAGTGAGAAAGCCCAGAAAGCCAACCACAGGAAGAAAAGGCACTGAAGCGGCCCCTTTTGTTTCCAAAAAAAATCAGTGTATGGAGCCACCATTTGTCCCGCAAATTTCTGTGAATTATCGTGGAGACTCCATTGGTCTATGTACTTCTGACTCTAATCGCATTTGTTTACCTAATCTGAACCATATATTTAAGACTTAAAGGTTAAATATTAGATATTTTTTTGGCGAAATTTATGTGTTCTCTGAGAATTAATGCGAAGGCTACATTAATGCATTTAATCAGTAATTATAAGATAGGAGTGAATCAAATGAGAAAAGACGGGTAGAGAGAAATAAAATATAGTACAAAACAATAGTAAGCCTAGCTGTGCATTCAATGTTGATCACATGGTTACACAGATGAACACCAGTTTCCTTTTCAGATACACTGCCATTAAATTATTTTCATGATATCATTCCTACCTTTCTTAGGCTGGTCATAGTGGGGAGTAACTTATACTAGTGTCATGCATATGACACTAGTCTAAGTTACTACCTTCATAATGCAAAGTAACATAATAGTAGTGTCATAGATGACTACATTTATTACCTTATAGACTCATACTTTTTCGGGAAGTGCTATGTTACAGTAACATATTATGTTACTCTAAACACCTCTCTCCTCATTAACTATGTGCCACATAAGCAAAAAAGTCTTGAAGTGCGTTATGTTACTACTTAAGTTACTCCCACTATGACTAGCCTTATTTATATTTCACTGGGTACGATGCATGCACCAGGATGCCACATAAGCCCTTCTTGGCGGGACCGGCACCACGGGCCATACGGATGTAGCCGTTTTCACCCCATTTTTCTCCCCATGAGTTTTTTATTATCCAGTAATCTATGCATTTCTTGGGGTCATGCTCATCGGTGGTGCCATAGCCCACCACCGTCATTCCGTGGGTCTGATTCGTCCCACACGGACCCACAAAGACACCTCCTCCATAACGTCGGAAGCTCCTTGTGTCAACCACCTCAACGACGGGTTGGGCCGCCACTGCCTGCAGCAATGCCACCTCATCATTATTCGGCACCCATTTGAAGTCGTCGATGGTGACAACGGGGTTCTTTCTTTTTGGCACCAAGCAATAGCCATGCTCACCGGCAATGTATGGGTAGTCAGCCTCTGTGGCGATGCCGCCGTTGTCGATAATGTACTTGAAGGCCGATGCCACTCTGCCGTTACGACATCTAAAACTTCTCTTGTCACAGTCTATGAGCTGCTGCACGGACAACGACTTCAGACTCCTGGTCCTTATGGAATTGATGCCCTCCACTGCTGCCGCCACCGCGAAGGCCCAACAAGCTCCGCACCCTCTCTGGATCTTCACGTTTGTCACTGCCGGCGGACGTTCGTCATACCCTATCATCCGCCAATCTACGAACATCGGGAAGTCGTTGCGCGCTGCAACGGCACCGTGTGTGAACCGGCCTTGGCGTCGCTTCCCGCCATCTGACACGCGGTCAGAGCAGCGACCGTGCATGTGGTCAACCTCTTCTTCATCGGTCATGTCACCAAAGAGGTTGAGGCTTAGCTTGTAGGGTGCGTCACCTTGGTTGAATTTGTGGATCATGCGAGCGTTCTCCTTGAATACGCTGAAGCGCATGGCCTTGTCACCAAGGTCGCGCCTCACATTGTGATGCTCACACCAGCGCTCGTATAGTGCCCATAGGGACTCCTCTGACGTCAAGTCTCTAGCAGTGATGTCCATAGAGCTCGCCACCACCATAGCGGCAGCAAGCACAACGGCCATGAGTATTATTATTGCAATTTCTCTTGCCATTGTAAGTACTAAGCGGTTGCTTCAAGTGTCCTAGGTATCTAGCTGGGTAGCGCGGAGTGTCCTAGGTAGCTGTCGTCCTCCTTATATAGCAGAATCCTCCTGGTGCACACACAGTTTCTGTGTATACCCTGAATAAACTATGAATTGCTGAAGTAGTGAACCGACCATAGGCAAGGTTATCACTAGAAAATTTCGAGGTACACAATGAATCTGGAATCTGCTAGTAATTGTTAGAGATATTTGTGCATATGTAGCACATACCAAAGTTGTCTATATATATATATATTTGAATTTATCTATATCTATCTATTTATCTATCTATCTGCATATACTCTGAATTTAAGAAATGGTGAAGTAGTGGACCGACGTGTAGGCAAGGTCGTCACTAGAGAATTTGGGGCTACAAGGTGAAGCTGGTAGTAATTGCTAGAGATATTTGTACATATCTAGCACATATCAAATCTGTCTATCTCTATATCCATATCTATCTATCTATCTATCTATCTATACACACATAGGGTGAAGTACAAGAAAAATAAATGAAGATGAGTATGAAACATACTCGGCGAAACCCTATTTAACCTCAGTGAAGAGTAAGCCGAGTGTTACACTCATAATACGGTCCTCAACTTCATTTTGACCAGCTTAAGCCGTGTAAGCCGGGTGTCACTTCACGCCTACTCGGCTTATATATAAGCCGAGAATGAAAGATAGGTTCTTGGCCAAAAAAACATGTATAACGACGAGATGCCGCTAAAGGAGGTGCACCGATGTACAAAAGCACTCAACACAGTTTTGTCACTCACCTGAGGCCTATCATGCTGATGGACCCCATGGGATCGACTTGTCCCTTCTCACGATACCAAAGTACTACGCAAAAATATCTCCAAGGAGTAATGAAGAGCTTGTCCTAGGTTATCCAGGTAAGCATGCGATCATCATCAGTACCAAAGTGCACAGTGGCTAGAAACTGAGCGACCAAAGACGGATCAAAGTCACAAGAGAACTCCATAAGCTTCAACAAGACTAATTCAGTGCATAGAGCCAGGGCGTCACCACAGTAATATACATGGTCCGATCTCCTCATGTGGTCGATGTCAATATAGAACTGAGTGGCTTACTTGTTCTTATGAGTACCATAGGTCTCATACTAGATCCTCTCCTGAATATATGTCCAGAACCGAGAATTGGTCCAATCAGGAGCACACGGAGTTGCATAGGGGTATCAGGAAAACTCCTTCCCAGTGAAAGTGTTGAGAGGCTTGGACAACGTCTTCTTGGTTGGCTTGGACTTTCGACGACAGGTTAGCTTGGATTGCACAGTCAACTCTTCCTCCCCTGGCACAGTAGGGCTCTTCTCTTGGCTGCCATGCTTCCTCGTGTTGCCATGAGCACAACCACAAGAACTAGAGTCACATCTACAGCACTGACACTCAAATCAACGTCAACCAAACTGCCGGCATATGTCACCTAAAGCGACACATTTAGTGTCGGCAAAGACCATTGGTGACAGAAATGAGCTGTGGTCTAGTCCTGCCAGGAAAGGTCATTGCCGACAGATAAATCTATGCCGACAAAATGTTTGATGGGGTTGGTGTGATCTATGGCGTCACACATTTCTATACTGACATACAGTTTGATATGGTGATCTCTTCCACCAAAAGTTTAGCCAAGAACCTATGATACCTAGTGATTCCCTAGGGAACAATGGATTCAAAGATTGAAACCAAAAAAATGGAATTGTTACATGCATCCATGCTACTTGTGAGCTGTGTTGGAATTTCCTTGAAGGGGAATGATGATGTTGTACAGTAGAGATAAGTGAACCAATGTTATCATTCTAGTAGGAGAACCAAGCAACACCTCGTTAACAACATCTACACGCAAAATAACAAATACTTGCATCCAACGCGAAGAAGGGGCTGTCAATCCCTCGACGGTTAATTTCAACGATCATATATTGTAGTGATAGATAGATTGAACAAAAATACAAAATAATATAAAGTAATGAAAATTGTAGTAAGGTATTTTTGGATTTTTGTATATGATAAAAATGGATCCGGGGGCCATAGTTTTCACTAATGGCTTCTGTCTTGAAAATAGCATACGGTGGGTAAAAAAATATTGGTTGACAATTGATAGAAAAGCGAATAATCATAACGATATCTAGGACAACGATCACATATATAGGAATAACGTCTGAGACAAGTAGGCCAAAACAATTATGTATCTACTACTATTACTCCACGCGTCAACCGCTATCCCCCATGCATCCAGAGTATTAAGTTCATAAAGAATGGACTAACACCTTAAGAAAGATGACATGATGTAGACAAAGTAAACTCACACATGAATAAACCCCATCTTTTTACCCTCAATGTCAACAATACAAATACGTGTCTTGTCCCCTTCTTTCACTGGAATATAGATTGCCGCAACTTTGAACCCATTACAAAGTACCTCTCCCATCGAAAGGAAGGTCAATCTAAAGAAAATATGCCCTAGAGGCAATAATAAAGTTATTATTTATTTCCTTATTTCATGATAAATGTTTATTATTCATGCTAGAATTGTATTAACCGAAAACATAATACATGTGTGAATACATAGACAAACATAGTGTCACTAGTATGCCTCTACTTGACTAACTCGTTAATCAAAGATGGTTAAGTTTCCTAACCATAGACATGAGTTGTCATTTGATTAAAGGGATCACATCATTAGGAGAATGATGTGATTGACTTGACCCATTCCGTTAGTTTAGCACTTGATCCTTTAGTATGTTGCTATTGCTTTCTTCATGACTTATACATGTTCCTATGACTATGAGATTATGCAACTCCCGTTTACCGGAGGAACACTTTGTGTGCTACCAAAAGTCACAACGTAACTTGGTGATTATAAAGGTACTCTACAGGTGTCTCCAAAGATACTTGTTGGGTTGGCGTATTTTGAGATTAGGATTTGTCACTCCAATTATCGGAGAGGTATCTCTGGGCCCATTCAGTAATACACATCACTATAAGCCTTGCAAGCCTTGTAACTAATGAGTTAGTTGCGGGATTATTTATTACGGAACGAGTAAAGAGACTTGCCGGTAACGAGATTGAACTAGGTATTGAGATACCGACGATCGAATCTCGGGTAAGTAACATACCGATGACAAAGGGAACAACGTATGTTGTTATGCAGTTTGACCGATAAAGATCTTCGTAGAATATGTGGGAGCCAATATGAGCATCCAGGTTCTACTATTGGTTATTCACCGGAGACGTGTCTCGGTCATTTCTACATAGTTCTCGAACCGTAGGGTCCGCACGCCTAAAGTTCGGTGACGATCTGTATTATCAGTTTATGTGTTTTGATGTACCGAAGATAGTTCGGAGTCCCGGATGAGATCGGGGACATGACGAGGAGTCTCGAAATGGTCGAGACGTAAATATCGATATATTGGACGACTATATTCGGACATCGGAAAGGTTCCGAATGGTTCGAGTATTTTTCGGAGTACCGGCGAGTTACGGGAATACGGGGGAAGAAGTATATGGGCCTTATTGGGCTTTAGGGGAGAAAGAGAGGCATGCCGCGCGCCCCCCCAATGACTAGTCCGAATTGGACTAAGGGGAGGGGCGGCGCCCCCTCCTTCCTTCTCTTCCCTCTTCCCCTTCCTTGTCTCCTACTCCTACTACTTGGAAGGGGAGGAATCCTACTCCCGGTGGGAGTAGGACACCTCCAGGGCGCGCCATAGGGGCCGGCCCTCTCCACCACTTCCACTCCTTTATATACGTGGCCAGGGGGCACCCCATAGACACACAATTGATCATTGGTCTCTTAGCCGTGTGTGGTGCCCCCTCCACCATAATCCACCTCGATTATATCGTAGCGGTGCTTAGGCGAAGCCCTGCATTGGTATCATCATCATCACCGTCATCACGCCGTCGTGCTGACGAAACTCTCACGTGAAGCTTTGCTGGATCGGAGCTCGCGGGACGTCATCGAGTTGAACGTGTGCAGAACTCGGAGGTGCCATGCGTTCGGTACTTGGATCGGTCGGATCGTGAAGACGTACGACTACATCAACCGAGTTGTGCTAACACTTCCGCATTCGGTCTACGAGGGTACATGGACACACTCTTCCCTCTCGTTGCTATGCATCACCATGATCCTGTGTGAGCGTAGGAAAATTTTGAAATTGCTACGTTCCCCAACAGTGGCATCCGAGCCTGTTTTTATGCGTAGATGTTATATGCACGAGTAGAACACAAGTGAGTTGTGGGCGATACAAGTCATACTGCTTACCAGCATGTCATACTTTGGTTCGGCGGTATTGTTGGATGAAGCGGCCCGGACCGACATTACATGTACGCTTACGCGAGACTGGTTCTACCGACGTGCTTTGCACACAGGTGGCTGGCGGGTGTCATTTTCTCCAACTTTAGTTGAACCGATTGTGGCTGCGCCCGGTCCTTGAGAAGGTTAAAACAACACTAACTTGACGAACTATCGTATTGGTTTTGATGCATAGGTAAGAATGGTTCTTGCTCAGCCCGTAGTAGCCACGTAAAACTTGCAACAACAAAGTAGAGGACGTCTAACTTGTTTTTGCAGGGCATGTTGTGATGTGATATGGTCAAGACATGATGCTATATTTTATTGTATGAGATGATCATGTTTTTTTGACAGAAAGACTGTAAGGGAACCCCATACAATATAATTGGTGCAACAAACCCAAATTGCAAGTATCATGCCTTGAACCTGGGTGGGTGGGAAGGCATCAACCCCTTCCCACCACTAGGCTATGCCTTAGTCCCGAGTTATCGGCAACTGGCAGGAGCCATATGGTTGTCGCTTTATTGTATGCAATGCAATCGCCCTGTAATTGCTTTACTTTATCACTAAGCGGTAGTGATTGATATGTCTCCAACGTATCTATAATTTTTGATTGCTCCATGCTATATTATCCACTGTTTTGGGCAATATTGGGCTTTATTTTCCACTTT